GGGGGGGGGGGGGGGGGAGCTTTGGAAATAGCAAAAACAATCCTTATTTGGCCATTGATTTTGGTTTTCAAGATCCAGATGAATGGGAGAGAAGAGACTTGTCTTTGTATGTAACACACAATTAGATGGTGGGTATAACAGAATAATAAAAGGAGGAAAAAGATAGCGATTGGCGGAAAAAGAATTTATTACTTTTCCAAGTTTGGGTTCGGTCGTTTGGCGGATGTATTAGAGAAAATTATGCGCGCATTGATTGCTTATTTTATTAGTCTCTTATTTGGTACATTTTTTCAACACGTGTATTACATAATTATACAACCTATTTGATATTATTTTATGTATAACTAATACATAAAAACTATAGTATTAGCAATACCAAGGATATTAATGGATGCATTAGCATGGTTATAGACAAAATTATTCTCATGCACCCTACCAAACAACCCCTTAGGGCTCATTTGATATGAGGGATAAGGAATAATTAATCTCGGAATTAAATTTAAGAAGAGCTTATCTCATATTTGGTTGAAAGAAAATTGCGGTATAATTAATCTCGGGATTAGTTATTCACGAAATTGTAATATTTTTTATCCCCATGAAAAGTTGGAATAACTAATCTCGGGATAATTAATCTTAGGATAATTTTTTTCCAACCAAATGTTGCGACCAAACACACTCACGCAAGTATACGTGGTCGTCAAGTAATATAATAGTGAGTAGAGTATCGTTCCCACGAAAACTTATGATTAACTTTTGACTAACTCAAACTCAAATAACTTATCGATTCAAGCGATTTCTCACAAAATATATAATTTTCTAATTTACCACCTAAAAACTATCAATTAATGAAATACTAGAGATCAACCACAATACTTAAATGATTTCGAATAATAATCAATAGGAGATAATATTCCAAGGTCACGGGTTATCTAACAATCATGTTGCATTCTTAACTTAAAATAACTAATTGATTTATCTGGATTGTTGATTGATAGAGTTGATATTACTCATAAGAATCTGTCGAGTTCTTACTCGCCTATTTAAGCTAACTTAATGCCTATATGTCTATGGAATTAAGATTAACAAGAAATGCATTTACACATCCTGTATTTCAACCAAGCAAGACAATTAGGTATATTTCTATCCTAATTGCGAATCCGTTCCCCGATGCCCGGGTTCAAGAACTTGCTTTATTTAATTCTATATACAATCTAGAATTTCCACTTTCGAGTTCAACTCTAGATTCGTAGATAGTAATTTATTGTTAGCTACTCAGCAAATTAATTAAAAACAGAATTAAATAAACAACTCAATATGACAAAATTAACTTTGTCAAATTAAACTTCAAACGTCAACATTCTTGTATACCCATGACCCTAGAATAATAGGGTTCTTAGCCACTCATGTTCATGCAATCATTAAATAATTCACAAGAGTGCATAATAATCAATAAAAAAAGGAAAAATAAGAACTCAAGATGAATTCTGTGGTTCCCCAGCTTTCTCGTGACTTTTTCCCCCTTCCCAATATGTTCGATGCCCTAAAAGTGACGTTTTTGGCTTATATATTGCGTATAAAAGTCGTGGGCCAAAGTTCTCCTATTCTTAATCCGACTCAGCTTTAGGGATTGATGCTGGGTGGATGCGTCGCATCCACCTCGTCCTCCACTTCTCAGCTTCGCATGCTAGGGTGGATGCTTCGCATCTACCCTTTGTTCCTCCATCTTAGCTTTGCCCAGGTGCGGATGCTAAGGCGGATGCTATGGGCCGACTTCACTGCTAAGGGTGCACGAAATCTGATTTTTTTTCTATATTGGATGCGACGCATCTAACCCCTCTTCCTCTAGCGAGAGCACCTTTTCTTCATATTTTTGCACTCCAAACACCCTAAATCATCACACACAACTCAATTAGTCATAAAACCAATAATTAAACCATGTTGGGCATTTTAAAGATCAAATAGCATCAAAAAGCGGTTAAAACATGGGTAAAGTAACATCAACACATATCGAAATATATGCCCAACATCACCAAACGACCTCTTAATGGTTTGGCTTTGTGCGTGTCCTATGCGGATGTGACTAAGATCTTAGATTAATTCAAATTCGCTCCGTATAAGGTTCATTAAAGGAGGATTCACTCGTTTTTAGAATTTTTTTTATAATCAAAGCTCGATTTTAGGGTAGGGGTAAGGTCTGCATACACACTACCCTCCTTAAATTTCACTATTGAGATTATACTGGGTTGTTGCCGTAAAAGCTCGATTCCGAAACACCCTAACCGTGATAGTTGACAAAGTTGGTATTGCTTAAGTTTAACTTTTTCGTATACTAGCTTGATTTCCTTTTAAGTTGTACTACTTTCTTACCAGTAAATACATAATAATACTTTTTTCATATTTATAAACAAATTAATTTTAAACTAATTATTTTATCCTAATTGCATACATACATATTCATACAAATATCATTGTATGTTTTAGATTAATTATACATTTAAAAATCTTTCTTTCTTTTTAAAACTTCTTATTCAATCAAACATCGTGATAAATTAAAATGAGGGAGTAACATTGAACATGAAGTATTTTTCTAAAGTATATTTAGACATTTTCCATAATTAGGGCAAATATGACATTTTATCTTTTTAAAATCAAACAGATACTATAATGCTTCTTTTAAGGGGAGGGTACCCTGAAAATCTGATACAAATTAGATTCTGTCATGACTTTTGACAAAAGTGGACAATTACAAGTCAAGAACACAAGTCATAGAATCATAGGGTTATAGAGTAGCTATTTCAGTGATTACTGTTTTCCCACATGCACACATTTGCATCTCTCTTTTTGGTAGTTTCTCATGTTATTCTAATTATTGTTATTTCATTATGAAACAAAAGAAGTACGTAAACTCTTCTCCAATATCAAATATAATAGTCCTAACTTTTTTTTTAGCCAAAAGTATTTTTTAATTAAAAGTGTTTTTGACCAAAAATTGAGGCCGTTCGGCCGAATTTTTAGAAGGAAAAAAAGTATTTTTGAGGAGAAGCAGAAACAGTTTTTGAGAAACAGAAAAATGTAGTTTCTCTTCAAGAGAACTATTTTGATAAACACTTTTGAGAAAAATACACTTAGAAACAGTTTTTAAAAGCTCAATACTACCATTATCAATAATATTCATTATATTATCGCAAACCATAGTCATGAATATAAATAAATTTGATACAAAATTATCATTTTTATAATGAAATACATGATACACTATCAGATGACCGAGAAGACGAAGCAACAACGTTACAAAATAATAAATTGTGGGCTCTTTTATAAAATATAAAAGTTTGGGGCAATTTTTAAAAATATAATAGTGATATTTTGGCCCAAAACCAACTATTGAGTTGATTTTGGGATTTGGTTAAAATGTAGGTAAAATTTATGGTCAAACATGTATTTGCCAAATAAGACCCAAGTTTATTTTGCCAAAATTTATGATCAAACGATTCCTAAATTTCTTAATAAAGATATATAATAAGGTATATTATCAAGAAGAACGTGTCAAGAAGAGAGCGAGCAGAGGCAGACAAGAACGTGTCAAGAAGAGGGCGAGCTGAGGCAGACGTACATGGTGTATAGACCAAAAATCTGCCCTTAAAATATTCAATATAAAATGACATATAATGAATGTCACCGGCCGGGCTCGCCTAAGATGTAGCAAGATTAACTGCAAGCTGCCGATAGAAGCCGCGGTCGAGATATCAATAGAGATCGTAGTCAAAGCGTCAACAAGGGTCGAGGTCGAGATTAATTATTGTGATGAGATTTGTAATGACTAATTTGTCAGAACAGGGTATTGGAAAGGGAAATATTCACTAGAATATTCCTAATGTTTGTACTATTAGGATTTTCTAAGAAAAAAGGCTCATATATATAAAAAGAGAGACAATGATAAGGGCATGTAATATTTTCCGATAAGAACACTTTTTGAGAAGAAGATTCTCTCTTTAAAAGATACAAACACTACCCCTTTAATAAGATTCTACCATCCATTACTCTCTACTTTTCCATCAGATCCGAGGATTGTTCATACGAATCTTGGACCTATCTGTTATTCATCATTGTCATGAGAAATATTCGTTCACCTATTCATTATTGAGTGAATCTTCCTCCTTATTTACTTAAATGTCATTTATTGCCATTTATTACTAGCTATATCTTCATTAACGTTTATGCTTTAAGAATATTTTGCATTTATTATCACCAACCATTTACGAGATCTGTCTCATCTACTATATATTTTCAAGATTAGTGTCTAGAGTTATTATTCTTAACTAGATTTAACTCAATGTTACATAAATTTAACTAGATTTTCCTTTATAATGTAACCCAAAGAATGATATTTCTTAATATTTTGACTTTAAAATTTTATTTTACTCTCAGTGAGATGATTTATAATCATGTACTCCTACTTGTTTATAATTTATTTTAAATTACAAGTTATAAAAGTCTTTCGTTAAATGCTGTGCTAATAGCCTATTTGGCCATATTTTTTTTGGGTCAAAAATGCTTTTTTGGCAAAACATTGAGGTGTTTGGCCAAGTTTTTAGAAGGAAAAAAGTGCTTTTAAGAAAAAGCAGAAACATATTTTAAGAAGCAGAAAATATAGCTTATCTCCAAAAATAATTTTATGCGAAACACTTTTGAGAAAAATACACTTAGAAGCCCTTGGTCAAATATTAATTACTGTTCAAAAGTGCTTTTTAAATTAATTAGCCAAACACAAACTAATTCTCACCAAAAATACTTTTTTGAGAAATATTTTTGAAAAAAAATACTTACTTATCAAATTAAGCAAATT